TTCCTTCAGCTGTTTACACGGAAAACAACGAATGTAATTCTGTATTTTGTTGTTCATTTGTTTCTTTAAATTTTTGTCATCACTTTCAGTTCTTTTTTACTTTCATTGACTGAAAAAGCTGTACTTCCGTAGAAAGCAATGCAAGTGGTTTTATACCGGACTTAATTTCAAAATTTACTCTATTTATTTATGTCTTATATCGACATTTATTTCTTATTTGTATTAGTTCTTTATATTTACTGTTTACTGTCCTTATTGACTCTTGCTTTTTTCCCGTCTAAAATTAGACGAACAGAAAATTATTCTCTCGACATGTTAGTTACATTACATAATTAAACGAAAAAAAACGACCATTGAAGTATCTCAAAAAATCATACAATGTTTAAAAATTAATCTATCTATTACTGTTAGAATGATTTACATTTCGTAGAATTGATAAGTTTATCAAAACTTGTTTGACTACCAAAGGAAAAAATAAGGTATTAAAACCAATGTAAGTAAAACGTCTTGTAACTTGGGGTCACTTACGTGAATTTAAACAATTCTAACCCTGAACATTTTAGTTTATTCAAATTTTTATAGTTTTTCTTTATACTTATGTCGGATTTGTCTTAAGAAATTTAATTTTAAAAATATCACGCCTTTTATTTATTTTGTTTAATATTATAATGTATACAGTCTCGTGTTTATTTGATAACATTTTACAGTGCCAAATTTATTTTAAAAATGTCCAATTGTAAGGAATCTTGTCACATAATATTAATTTCATATTTTCTTCTTGATAATGACACAGATTTTTAACAATAAAATATTAAATGTCATGCATGATTCGTGATTTTGTTTTTCACGGGTGTCTTAGTTATTCTAACTTGTAATGATGGAAATTCAATTTTGTATTGAAAATGCTAAATTAATCTTCAATTGAAAATCGACGCTAAAATACATATAACTTTGACCCAGGATATAATTGTTCAAAATGTTGGATTCAAAAATGTTGGATTCAAAAAGTGGTATGCCAAATATTTGGATTCTTAGCACACTTAGAAACTTGTATCCCCGAAAATAGTAAAGTGCCACTTTCTATGTAAGTTACATGAAAAGATTGTCTTAGAGAGCAAGAAATATTAAATAATACATTTGAAAGGAACAGATCGGAGCGAGATAAAAATTCCCCAAGTCAGAGAATGTTTTTTTGTTTAATGGTATTTAATGTAGTGAAATTAAAGACTTGCAGAGATTCTTTAATACTTATCTCAATGCTAGTTTTCGAAATTTCAATGCAAAAAGGAAACATGGAAATATATAATCAAATATATATTTTCATTATTGTTTGACACCTAAGGTAACCAAAGAGACACCACTAAATGTTTTGAAGTTGTCTTAAAATTTTACCATGGTAGCGTAAGTATTTATCTACTTCCATGAAATAAAGGCAAATAATATATGAAGTTTAACACGAGGAATATGACAGATATAATGTAATAAGCCTTTCGAAATTTATCAGAATTACTCTGAGTCGCATTATTTTTTAGAAATATTTTATGCATCGTTGATGAGTATTTTTAAAAGTTGAAATCATTTCTGGCATATTTCACAATGACCAGCTATAGCTAAAATGAGGTAACAGCAATTACTTAATAGCACTCATCTCAGTATTTTATTGATTTTAGTATTTATATCGTTTGCATAGTTTTGCTTTCTCAAGATTTCAGTTCTTCCATTCTCAATCCAAGGCTCTTCTGTACTATTCCAGGTGCAACGATAATAATATTACTTTTATATCCCCCCAAAAAATCTCTAATCTCTAACAAAATCATCAAATTTTTTACTTGATTTCAAATTAACTGTGGTTTCTTGGATAGCGTCATTCATGATCCATTTGTATTTCAAAGTCCTGGAATAATCTGTATCTTTTTTCTCTAAAACAGATTGCCTTTTTTGCATATACCATTGGTTTCCATGATGCAACCACCATTGTTTGTATTATAGCTACTAAATCATCCTCATGTCATTACGCTTTATTTAAAACTATTTCTGAGTCAAATGGCTACATTCAATTTTGAGAATGACTGGCCGTCTCGTATCTATCGCTGCACTGTTATTTTGCTGAGTCTCGTCTATCTTGGTCTTGTTGATTGTTATAATTATGAACGAACATTATTAAAGATTCAGTTCCTCTGGTTTAATAAAATATTTGAAATCGACCACATGTATTAGGTGATTGTGCCTTTCTTATAATTTTCCAAATCTATATCCTCACTGTAAATCGATATCCTAAAATCTTTATATAATATAAAGATTTTAGGATTAGCATAAATTGTGTTATTACTGTTGTTATTATGATAAGTTATACAGAATGGTCACAAATATCAGCAATTCGTATATTCTTGTGTTTTGATCCTTTCTTAAAAGAGAATTTTTTCTCTGCATTCTTTGAGATATATTCTTCTACGTTAATCATTGTTGCTGGAAGAAATAATTTTATGGCTGCTTTCAGTTTTCCAAACATTCTAAAGTAAAGATACGATATTTTATTTCAGCATATTCAATAGTAAATACTTACAATACATCAAGTGTGAACTTCGAAAAAGTCATATTATCTCTAATCAAC